TTACTGCGAGGAAATGATTTAATCTGACTTAGCATGCATTGAAGTAAAATCAATAAATTTAAAGTGTCTCTTCAGTGCTGAGATGTGGCCAGTTCCTAATGTGAACAGTGTTGAAGTGGCTAAGAGGCAGAACTACAAATCAGACAGTGCCCGGCTCAAATCTTGCTTCTGCCATGAACTGGCCCGACAGTCTTCGATTCGCTCTAAACCTTTCTCCCAGCTGCAGTGTGGGACTAGTGTTAACAACCTACCTTACAAAGCTGTGCTAGGTATTAGAATGTTATGTGAAGTTCTCTAAACACTCAGAAGTTGGGGATCACTCCCCCAGCACCCCCACAGAAGAGTACATACCCTTGGTGTGATCTGTCAGGGACCACTGGCTGCTTGCTGATGCCGAATCATTTCAGAAATTTGAATTGTTTGCAGAGGCCTTTTGAAATAGGACCAATGGCTGCATGAGGTCCTAGAGCTATGAATCCTAAATGAGCATGTGAATTAAACAGTACAAGAAAAGCTGTTTTGCTCTTTGTGGGTGAAGCACAATGACAATTAGGACTAGACTGAAAGAGGCTTTGGGTCTGCTGAAAAACTCTCTCAAAATGCATCTATGAATGTGTATTTTGAGATAAATCACATTTCAGACATTTAGGGTGCAATCCTATGTACATTAAGGTCACGCACACACACAAAAGTCTTGCCAACTGCTTCAGCTAACCTTGCTGCATGGTGCAAGTTGTAGGCCTTTGCTGTCTAGGGTTCTTGCTTTTGAAATGCATGGCCACAAGTTCTTTTCTTTAGCACTGAGTACCCTAGTCTTAGGACAGAAAAGGTAGTATTCACACTACCCATACGTACCAGAAGGCACGTTCAAGTGCAAGGCTGTCATTACCATTAGTTAGTGATGGGAGGGGAGAGAGCGAGTTGCTTCAGCAGCCTTTTTGTGCCTTGAAAAATTTTTGAGAGAAGCAATGCATGGATCCATTTCTACAAAAAGCGAGGTGGCCTAGCTCTCCTTGAAGCCACCGGTAGCTGCATTTACTACTTTGGCCTGGAGGCAAATTCTGCATACGGCAACCTCACATGACTTTATTCTTGAGTGAAAACACTCGTTCAAGCAGCCCCATTAAAACTGATCTCAGTGGAACTAACTTATTGAATGAGGCACAACTCAACATAAGCAAGCTTGCCCATTTTGGGACCTATGAGTTACTGCAGTGAAGAAAAAAACATTAATAAATCTGAAGATTTAGACAAAGCAGTTCAGCCCAGAATGCACTGCGGTCGGAGTAGTAATAAAACTGTGACCTTTCACTTTACCACAGCCTTCCCAAGACAGTACCTCATTGCAGCTCAAAAACTGTCATAACTCTCTATTTAAGAGAAAAAGAAATAAATTTTTAGCACTTGCAGAAAGTGTTATCCTGAGTAATAACTCATATCTCACCATCTATTTTAGTTTTGGCAGAAAACTTAGATTTATATGCAATGAGTGGGTACCTCAGACTTTAAAGATCATTCACATGACTGACATTGCAAATAATGAAGTTTAATATAATAGTCAAGTATCTTGCTTTTCCATTTTAAAGAAATATTTACCCTAATATTGCCATATAATATTTTACAGCTCAAGTAAAATACGGTTTCGAGTATTATATAAAGTGGGAGTTTTATACAGCAGTTTTAGAGAGCGGGTTTCTATTCTCTTTCACTTAAAAATAATATTTAAAAATAAATTTCTTAAAAATATTATAAGAGTAAAATGCCTCTAGATAAACAAAACTTAGCAGCAAATAAAATGGCTAATTGCTTTTCTGGGACAGCTTGTAAGTATCATGTGTGAGTTTCTTCTAACAAGCTGTATTCACACATTGTTGTTTTAATAAACTAAGCAAAGGATAAGATGAATTTTCTCCCCTCTTCATCTACCTTGGCCAAAATACCTTCCACCTAATATTCCTGTGACATAATTTGATTCTACTTTTAGTGGAACGGGAATCAGTTCACAGAGGTTTCTTCTTTTTTTGATGGATATTTTTAACGGCAAAATGAATACAAAAAGCATATGATTATGGTATTTACGCTTCCATTAAACTGTCCACAGCAAGTTGGGGGAATCTAGTCTACTATTTTGAAGCTATTTAGGTTTACAGCAGCACAGTGCCCATTTCATTTCAATTACATTTGAGGACAATGCTTGCCTGGGAGAAAGTGATGGCATGGCGACAGCCAGGAAATATCCATTAGCAGCTGTCTTTTCATGGGGGGGGGGCAACTCTCTGGATGGTAGGCCATGGCGTTCTGCCTTCCCCTCACCCCTTCCCACCACTGCTCCCTCTTTCTATCACAACACAAAAGCGGCTATATAGCATCATTGCTGTCCACAGCGAAAATACAAACACACACATGCATACACACGCACAAAGCCAGTATTGATCAATGGTTTGTGTTTTCTTGCATATGATGTAAAACATACTAGCAACAGGCTTTTTAGCTTGGCTAAAAGCCTTTGCTACAGGAATGCAATTCCCAAGACACCATTTTGTATGGAAGAGGAAAATAAACCAATTATAAACTCCGTCTAGCGCGCGCACGTGCGCTCTCTCTCTCTCTCTCTCTCTCTCTCTCTCTCTGTGTGTGTGTGTGTGTGTGTGTGTGTGTGAGATGCTGGAGAGGAAAAGTTTACCATTTGAGAAAAACACAGCTTGGTATTCCCAGACAAGCTGTGGAAATGTTAGAATACATCTTTGATTAATACAGTGGTGACCACTAACTAATCTGAAACTAAATTTATTATCAACCCTCTGAAAAACAATGGCAAGGTTCCATCAGAAATGCCTGGATGAATGAACCCATTTTTGTTTGCAAGATAAAGTAACTTATTTTTCATTTTTCTAAATGGTATCCCATGGGAATTTGGTTATGTTCTACTGGAAATTGCTTGACAGGAATTAAATGATTGTTATATAAGCTTATGGGGGGCGGGGGCTCTAAGGAAATTAACACAGTTTTAACAAAAGCTAAAAATTCTTCACACTGGAAGCTAATTTTTCCATGCTTCTTGCTACTTCCTACACAGTCACAATAACAACCTTGAAAACTTAGACAAGACACAAGTTTCTCAACAACAGCAAACCAATACTCAGTACAGGTCTCCTGATAGTTTTGTGCAGAGACAAACTTGCAAAGCAACCTTTGATCTAAATGACCTTTTCCTAGGCATTACACACAACTCTAACGCATGGTGCCACACAATAATTGCACAAGATCATCTCCTGGCAAAGCAAGGCAATAAGAGCAATTCTGGGTCTGTCTGGGAGATGCAACAACAGCCTTGGACTTAAAAACAAAACTGGAGCCAGACTGGTCCTACCTATGCAATATTTAGAATAATGAACAAGCAAAGCATTTGCCCTTCTAAGACCAAAGGCAGTGTAAAGCCAGGTGTCCAGATTGTCACAGCCTTTCATCCATAAATATGAACTCACCTTCTCAGACCATTGGTCCTCCATATAGACAGCTCTGGAAACTTTCCAAGCTGTCAGGCGTAGGATCCTTCCTAGCACTGCTGCCTTGAGCTGGATATACCTGGAATGAACCTGTATGTCAAGTATGGATTCTGTCACTGCGCTATGGCCAATCTCAGTGGGTTCTTCTACATTAAAGGTCAGGAACCAGTGGCCTTCAAGATGTTGTTGGACTCCACTCCAGTATGGCCACTGGTCAGAGATGATGGGACTTCTACCCAAAGAACACCCCCCCAGCTCTGTAGAACAAAATCAGCCGTGAAGCCTGATCCAAATAGGCCTAGATGAATCATGAATAATTCTAGAAAATTAATAATTTTCATTCCAGGGTGCCTGGAGTCGACCTGCATCTTAACTAAATCAGGGTCTACCACCCGTTCTGCAGCAGTCGCTGTCAATGATATTAAGAAGACACTTTCAGGGCCAAAGTAAACATTTTGTCTAGTCAATATGGTAGAACTGTGCATGCTAGATTTTGTTATCTTTGTGGAAGTGCACATAGCCCAAAGGAGAGGAAGGTGAATTCTTCGCCTTCCAGCCATTTTATGACATTCCAGCTCTACCTAGACACACACATACATCAACCAGAGAGGGTTTTTAAAAAACATCTTCAAAAAGGGGGTTTTTTTTTTACTACTCCACTGGACATGATAATTTATTTATTTATTTAAACAACTTATATGCCACCCCTTTCGCATAAACCTCGGGGCGGCTTCCAATCATAATGACTTTTTGTACAAACAAAACTATACAAAACAAAACAAGGGGGAAAGAAAATGTTTAACCACTCCAGGAGCAGTTGGTTTTGATCTAAATAAGGCTCATGCACACTTACACATATGTATAGAAAATTAGTCCATTTTATTTGCTCTTATTAAGGTAGGAAAGCAGAACACTAAGAGAGGTGTTTGGCTCAGGTTGTCCTTCCTAAACCTTCAAAATTAAAATGTTAGACTGTTACCTTTTTTCATGGATTTACATGAAGCAGTTAAACAAATTATAGACAGACAGACAGGGGTCAGGAAAAAGTGTCTTAAAGGATTCTTCTTTCTTCCCCACTTAGAAAAACAAGAACATTGAAAATGAGCCCCAGGCACAGGTCCAGAAAATCCCCTGCAGATACTGCCCACAAACACCACAACGAATTACTAGGACTGCTGATAATTGAACCAGCATAGGCTGTTCCAAGTGTGACTTTAATTTGAATTATACTAAACAGTGCAATTTGGGACTGAAAGCATTTCCAGAAGATGATGAATTGTGTTAGAATCATCTGAAAAGATTGTCCTGCTCATTCCATTATGACTTGATTTGTGTGAATTCAATATTTTTCTCTACAAAGGCTTTTAAAAAGCCATTAATAAAATGCAGCTCTGCCTTTCCAGTTGATGAACAGTCACCTTTTCCAATCAAATAAATAAATAAATTGCAAACCAGACATTGGAAGCAGAATATTGACTGAAGTCTACAGCCTACCTGTCTGCAGGTGAAGACTTTGAACTGCTTGCTTTCTTTACTTGGGCATATAATGCTTCAGCAGTCGGTCCTTCCCTTGGGCTCTGTGGTCTATTGTTCATTGTGTCACTGTTTGTGGGGGAATTATATGAAGGAATTCTGGCATACATTGTGTCACCATCATATCCAAAAGTCCTGTTTAAATCTTGGATTTCAGCATAATCTCGTTCCCGAGCTTGTCTCTCACGAAATTCTCGAGTCTTGGCTTGAATTCTGGAAATGAGAAATAAGGCTAGAAATACGTTTGAAGGTATGGAGTAAAAACACTTCTACTCATAAGGAAGTACATCATATAGCTAAATATCTTAAACACCAAACTCTAAACTGACATGCCTCAATACTTCATTACCTGTTAGAAATCTTGATGGGGGAAAATGACCAGAGAGAACTTTTGAATGTATAATAATGAGCACCAAAAATGCAACTAACACTTTACTAGCTACATGCATTAAAATGAGCGTGACAGGAGCTATTTGAACATTAAGCAACAAAACTGGGAGCACTGAATACAGAAGGCAAACTAGAATCTTTTATTTATTTATTTATGCTGCTGCTGCTGATACACTGCTCTATTTCTCCCTTTGATCATCGTCAGGGTGGATGAGCTTACACTGGTGGCTGGCTGCAACAGTGGACTGAATGAAGGCTGATAAACTGAAGTTCAGTCGAGACAGGACCAAGATACTGTAGTGAGTGGTTCTTCTGAGCAGATGGAAGATGATCAAATCAGTTCTTCATGGGATTGCACTCCATTCGAAAGGAGCAGGTTCATAGCTGGGGGTTTTTCCTGGACTCATCTTGGTTACTGCAAGTTTAGGCGGCCTCAGTGCCCTTCTACTAGCTTCAGCTGGTGGCCCAGCTTTGCCCTCTGTAGATATGGATAAGCTGGCTACAGTAGCCCATGCTCCAGTGAGCTCCAAATGAGGTTACTACAATGCAGTTTACATGTGGCTGCCCTTGAAGATGGTGTGGAAGCTCCCAGGACCAGAAATTCTAACAGATTCTGAACATATCCATTCAGGCCTGCTTGCACTGGTTGCCTGTAGATTTTGAAGCCATGTGTAAGGTGCTGGTTTTGTCCTATAAAGCCTTGCATGCCTTGCTGGAGCATCTTTTTGAGTATGCAAGTACTTGTACACTACAGTTGTCATCTGAGGCTTTTCTTTCTGAGACAAGGTTGGTGGATGACAACAAAGAAGAGGGTCTTCTCAGCAGTGACCCTCCAATTGTGAAATGCTGTCCCTACTGAAGTCCACCTGGTGACCACATTGCTCTTCCTTCACCTCTCCTTTCCACCCAGGGATCTGACAGTATATGCCATGGCTTTAACTGATTCTTGGATTTTTATCCTCAGGGTTTTGAAAATGGTTTTTATATTGTGCTTTCTTTTGTATTTTAAAGCTTTACTCTTTTGTAGACTGGTCCAGAAAGTGTTGGCTTTCGGGGGACACAGAGATGCCGTAACTAACAATAAGTAATGCTAATTTTATTATTAATATAATTAATACATTTTATTTTACAAATAATTTTATTATGTTCTTATTTTAGCCCAGAAACTCCTTTACTCTGGATACACAACCTGTTTTCTAAAGAAGGCAAAATTTATTGTCTTAAATACTGTCACAACCCCTTGCCCTGCCTTGGGTAGATGCAGCCTGCTAGAGGCATTTCAGTCTGGTGCGCATGACAGTTATCAATAATTGATGTTTGGATGGTGATGCAGTTCCTTCAGTAATGGTGTCACAAGTGCAGTTCACTGATTCTAGTATCTTCTGGCCACTTAAAGCAAAGTGTAGAGGTGTTATTTTATATTTAATTTCACTCTGCCCTTCAAACATCCACAGTTGCTTACAGTCCTACTCAATAGTTTCTATAAAGGATTCAGCAGGATAAAAGCCAACCTTATTTAAATCAATAGAACACTTCCCATTGACTCAGTGAGGATAGAATTTCACTCATCCATTGACAATATTATCATCTGTTTGAGTTTTACCTATAATTAATAAATAGTATGTTTGCATACTGAAACCACAATTCTCTTGCGAATTATGTACAGCAGATATTGGAATGCAATTTAGATTATGTTTAATACAGAAGATGATGTGATGTCTAGAAATGTTGGCGATTCCTTTTCAGCAACTAAGGGCCTTTCCCTTTTGAGGTTCATGCTTAAAATATGCATGCCCACATTTAAAATGAGGACCTGACAAGGACATATTTACAAGTGTAAATATAGTTACTTTGGTCAGGGACCCCTACATGGGAACACAGGAAGCTGCCTTATACCAGCTCAGACTATTCTTCCATCCAGCCTTGTATTGCCTAATGTGATTGACCTTTTCCATGTTCCCAGGAAAAGGTCTTTTGTATCTTTCCCTGCCTAAATGCCATAAACTGGAGCGTTCAAGGATCAAACTGGGAGCCTTCTGCATGCAAGCCAAGGGTTCTGCCACTAATACCTCCCAAGGCAGATTTGGTTGCATTTCCCTATTAATTACACATTCCACTTTGCTCACATAGATGCAGTAAGCAATATTATTCTTGCAAAAACTTTTAATTTTGGAGAGCTTTGTGCTTTAAGGTCTCTCCAAGGAAATAGGCCTACACCATATTACCACATTCGGGAAGAGAATGAGAGACAGTGTGCGCAGACATAACTTCAGCTATGAGGTTAAGATACAAGGAAGCTGTTTAGCACAATTTCTGGAAAAAGACTAGCCAGAGAAAACCATGTAGAGAGAACCATGGCTAGAGAAAACTGCTGATTGGTTCCAGTTTGATTTTATGCTCATGGGGGTGAGGGTTAATTTACACTCACTGAGGTGGTCACATTTCTTCTCTAAGTCTTTAGGTCACTGCAAAGTTTTGCAAAGTGGGTTCCACGGGTAGGGCTTTCACAGGATACCAAAACTACGAACTGTGCATGTGAAAGACCAGCCAGTCCACTCACCTCTCTTGTTTACACAGAATGGGTTTCAAACATTGTTGGCTCCAGGTCGTGTGCACACTTAACATACTTCTACTGTTCAATGCTGATCCCGTTTGGAAATCAAGGAGGTAAGTAGACCTTTGAGGAAAGACTGCCATGGGGCAATCACTACAAAGGCCCTGCTTCGAGCAGTTAGAGTTCTATTCTAAGTGCTGCTGGAATACAAATCAGGTCCAAGTATAAGAATTCAGATGGTATCAGGGCTCATACAGGTAAACTGGGCAGCATTTACATGTGATGCTATATAGGATAGCAGTACAAAATTACTGCTACTGCATTTTTGTAGGGGAAAATATATAATCAGCGTAAAAGCATGGAAACAGTACCTTAATGATTGGGTGTGTAAAGACTTTACAACTGCCTGTTACAGCTTGACTAATAATGCAAGCCAGGGACACATATTGAGAAGTCACTCTCTGCTGTCATTTTGATTACTCACATAATTGCTACTGTCTTTAAAAATTAGAGTAAACATGATATTTAAGTGCTTTTATTCACAAAGTATTGGACTCCTGTAATGCAGGTTGGAGGATTTGATTGGTTTTCTGGTACTGTTCAATTCAATAGCAGTAAGAACACCTCAGTTCTAATAAATTGCATTTTGGAATGAATCATGCTTAAATAGGGATTTGGCATCAAAAGGGTCCTATTAGCAGAGATGAGGAGACAGCTGCATTGGTGGGCCTTGCATTTTAACGTTTTTGATCAGCCTTCCTAACCTGGACTACAATTCCCATCACTTGCAATGAGCATGCCGGCACATCTGGAGGGATTCAGGTTAGGGAAGGCTGATTTAAGTCTCAGAATTTATAAACCTATGTTACCCCAAACCTTAAGATAACTGAGATATGGGTCTTAGAAGATTGAACGAGCTTGGTTTTTTTCTGTATCATCAATCTAGGAAAGTGGACAAGATATTATCCATTTGGGTGAAACAGCTTACAAGGTGCTAAGTGTGGCCTGAGAAGTAGCCTGACTTTGGTATGGTGACCATGGCTGGCCATTGAGCAACTGTGCTTTCCACATTCTTTCTCCAAGCTTAGCATTTAATTGTGATTCACTCATTGGCTAAATTTACTGCTGGGCTGTTTGATTGTATTCTGTCATCAAGGCATTGGCAGAAGTATCAATGAGCAGAGCAGGTCAGTAGGGGTGGTATGCAAAGGTGTCTTGGAAAGCCCTTGAGCAAGAGATGGAGAATGGGAGAATAATCACAAACCTGGAGTGACTGACAAAGGTGTGGGTATGTGCCGGGTATCAGTGTGATTGAAATTTGATTCCAGTGGGAAATGTAGCTCATACCTACCTCTGCATGCTACACAAACAAGTAATTTATCATGTTCCTCTTTAGGATGACATACGGTATCCTGGTGGATCAGAGTTTGCTGTTCACAGCAGGCTGCCAAAACCTCTCAAAAGGAATAATTATAAGCATCTCCATCTACAGTGCAGAGCTACTCCTTCATGCATTGTTCCAATATTAAAGTTGTGAAAAGTTGAATCCTATTGCTAGTATCCCATTGCAGCTACCCCACCTACATAGTAAGTTTTATCTATTTGGGGTTAAAAGAGAGCGAGCAAAAGAGAGGAGAAATCTTTTGCTTGTTCAAAATTCTTATTAATTTTTCTCAAACTTTTATGTATATCACTTAGGCTAGAAGTGGGCAACTTGTCTCCTCCCACTGTATAAGCACCACTTGGGCTGATGGGTCATAACCCATCAGTCCTAGTCAGCATATAGGTGAGGAATGGTACGATTTGTAGGCAGAACATCTGCTGGGCCACAAGTTGCCCACCTTGGACCTAGACAAATAATCCCAGCCAACTCCTTTGATACATGACCCTTTGAAGTGATAGCTTTACTTCTGCCTTTCTCAACCTAGTGTCTTCCAGAAGCTTTCTACTACAACTAGCATTGTTGGCTGGTGGATTTTGAAATCCAAAATATCTGGAGAACACTAAGTTCAGGAAGACAACTTTACTAGTGTGACAAACAATTAAAATGAACAATTCCTGGAATTCCTAATTTTAGGAAAACTTTCCCACATAGATATGCCTGCCAAGAGATGTTGCTTATGATTCTGGGGCCTATGAAAAGTAGAGCGGGCTCCCAGTGAAAATGTGCTCAGTTCTAGAGGGTTCACGATCCATATGTGTGAGTCACTAAGATTGCAAAGAAATATATGTTCTGAAAGTATCGAAGGTGTATATATAATATATGAAG